CATGTCAGTTTCTTTTGTAGTTTGTGATTCTTGTGTGAGACTCAAGCCTTCACGTTTAGGTCAGTTTCTTTTTATAAACTTTATGAGCCTTTGTGGTTTACTTTTTGGGCATGAAAAGCTGGTTGTCTAAGCTTCTGGTTCTCTCTTTTGATTTTATATTGGAGTGGCTGAATTTCTTTTGTCTTCAGGAGTTCCCACAGTGTTCCAAGTCAGATGAGGATCAGATGCTCTCCAGCTTTCTCCTAAGGTCTGGATCCCTCCAGGAAAGATGTTCTCAGGAATTTGAGGATTGGATTGGCCTGGGAGCAGGGCCCAGGAAAGATGCTGGTCTCAGGCAGCTGGTGGTCATGCCACCCAGGGATGCAAAGGGAGGTGGGGGTGGGAAGAGGCCCCAAGGGCTCCTGGCGACTGCAGGGAGGAACTGGGTTGGTCTGGATGTACAGTATCAGGAGGCAGTGGTGGCTCTAATTAGAGAGGTCAGCCCTGGTGTCTGGGGTGCCAAGACAAGAAATGGGCCAGTACCCAGGCTAGGAGGAGAGACAGGGGTTGGGGAGCTGGAGGCGTGAATGAGGCTGCAGGAATCGAGGCTGTGGGAGTCAAGGCCCAGTGGGCACTGATGGACTTACCCAGGAAAAAGGATGGCGGGTTGTGCAGCCTAGGGAAACAGAGGGAGGTGAGGGTGGGACCAGGCCCATAGGGCTCCTGGGGAAGGTGAGAAGGAACTGGGTTAGTCTAGATGCAAAGGATCAGGAAGCAGTGGTGGTTCCAGGCTGAGTGGTCAGCCCCGGTGTCCAGAAAAGAGGCTGGCAGGTTGTGCAGCCCAGGGAAGCAGAGGAAGGTGAGGTGGGACCAGGCTCAGAGGGCTCCTGGGGACCAAGAGAAGGAACTGGGTTCATCTGGATGCAAAAGATCAAGAAAAAGTGGTGGTTCCGGGCAGAGAGGTCAGTCCTGGTGTCCAGGAAAGAGGCTGGCATGTTGTGCAGCCCAGGGAAACAGGGAGGTGAGGGCGGGACCAGGCCCAGAGGGCTCCCAGGAGAGAGGCTGGCAGGTTGTCTGATTGCATGTCTTTTATTGGGGTTAAGAAGGTATGCATGCTTTACTATTGTGTTGTAGAAACAGAAGATTGCAAACTATAGGAGAGTTCTTACAGGAATTTCAACACCCTCTTTAATTAAATTTTTAGAAGAGCAATCATTGCACTGGAACTTAATTAAGGTTGTAGCCAGTTGTCATAGATTAGTCCCTGCAGGTTTTCTCTGGAGTAAGGGGATAAAATCATCACTAGCATGGTGATTGTTAGGAAATCCTTAAGGGTGCTTGTTGGAGGGTGCTTCAGAATAATTGAGCCAGTCCCCAGGGGTCTGTCAGTAGTGGACCCTTACATCTGAATTGTCTGGATTTCAAGTACAGTAGTGAAACCTTTGCAGCTGGGTGGTGGGGGTGGGATGAAGTTGGCATTCACACTGTTTTTATTCTCTGGAGCTGTTTGTACTTAAGATAGATGTGATGGGGCCAGAGAGATGGCTCAGTGGTTAAGAGCACTGACTGCTCTTGCAGAGGACCCATGTTTGATTCCCAGCACCCACATGGCGGCTCCAAACCATCCCTAACTCCAGTTCCAGGGGAATCCAAAGCCCTCTTCTGACCTCTGCGGCATTGCACGACATGGGTGCACTCACATACATGCAGGAAATACACTCATACACATAAAATAAAAATAACGAATAAAAATATATTAAAAAAAGATAAATGTGATAGTAATGCTTTAAATTTTTTTATTTTTCTATCGCCAGATGTGGCCCCTCAGCCTTGGGCCTCAAGATCTGTGAGCCAAAATAAACTCATTAAAAACAGTTATTTTTATTTGTGTGTGTGCGTGTGTGTGCGTGTGTGTGTGTGTGTGTGTGTGTGTGTGTGCATGCCACATATATGCAGGTGCCCTCAGATGCCAGAAGAGAGCATTAGATCTCTTGGAGTTGGAATTACAGGCAGCTATGAGCTGCCTGACATGGGTATTGGGACCTGAGCTTGGGTCCTTTGCAAGAGCTCTTAATGACTGAGCATCTCTTCAGCCCATACAGCCTATTAAGTTTAGCCTTTATATAAAACTACTGAATATTCTAGCATTTCTTGGCTAACAGGATATACTGGCATCCAGTTTGGGCCATATTATCATCTACTTTGCAATATTAGTTTCTTAAGACCCCAGAAAAACACATTACCTGTTGGATTAGCCTAACATGGTATAATTATATGGCTTTCATGTAGTCTGGAAACACTACCTATAGGAAAGTAAAGATGTAATATTGTCTAACATTTAGGCTTGGTGGTAGAGTGCTTGCTTTGCTCATGTGAGGCACTGAGTTCAGTCTGTAGTACCTCAAAAAACTTATTTTTTATTAACTTTTAAAAATTAATGTGCATGGGGCTGGAGAGATGGTTCAGTGGTTAAGAGCACTGACTGCTCATGGCAGTTGCAAACCATCCTTAACTTCAGTTTTGGGGGAATACGAAGCCCTCTTCTGACCTCTGCGGCATTGCAGGACACGGGTGCACTCAGGTACATGCAGGCAATAAACTCATACACATAAAATAATAAATAAAATATTAGAAAAAAATTAATGTGCTTATTTCATTTGTAAGTTAACTTTTTTCTTCAGAAATGGATTTTATAAACTGTTTTTATTGTTTTCAGGGTTGATCTTACACGTACAGAGTATGCAGAACTTTTCAAATCTATTAATGGGTAAGTTGGCTTGATATTGTATGTTTTTGTTCGTTTAATACAGTGTATTGTGTCTGTATGGATAAATATTATGTTTCTATAGAATTATCTAGCAGTTATATGACATTAATTTTCTGAGTTCCTTTGTAGGAAATGTTTTGATGGGAGATGCAGGAATCCTGTAAATGGTGGGAGGTGGAGGTTGGCCTGGTGGTTCAAGCTATTAATTCCAGCTCTCTGGAGGATAAGGGAGACTAGTTAGTGAAAACTTGTCTCAAAATAGGAGAGTAGCCAGGTGGTTGACCTGGCTTGCATAAGGCCCTTCAATCCCTAGTTCTGGTAAGAAATAGTAGGAAGAAAGTTAGGAAATACATAATTACTGCATAAAAGATACACCATTTTTTAAAAACTTAATCTTTTTCATTTAATGCTGAAATACTTCAAAGCCACTTTGAGTGACAGGACATACTGCTTACTTAGTAGACTTCCAAGTCCTATGTCTGAGTATACTGATTGGTTGTCTTTCTGAGATCACTTGAATAGAACTTAGAAAAAAAGTTGTCTGGCTTCACCATAAAATATAGGACTGATTAATTCACAGAAATGAGCTTCTAATCATATGAAAAATATTGGGTTGGGGATTTAGCTCAGTGGTAGAGCGCTTGCCTAGCAAGTGCAAGGCCCTGGGTTCGGTCCTCAGCTCCAAAAAAAAAGTCCTCTTTTATTCTTAATTTAAGGGAGTACAGTTAATTATAGAAATTAAAAACCAGGTTGACAGAGATCAGAGGCTTTATTAATATTGTATGAGGAGGGTAGGAGGAAACAGGTATTCTCATACCTCCTAAGTAAAAGTAGAAATTAGTCTTTTGGGTACAATCCTGCAGTGAGTATTGGAATTAGAAATACAGTCTTTGACCTGGAAACTTGAATGGAAATTTTATTTTGCAAATAACATTATCTTCCTTGTGTAAAGACTCAGGCCTAAACATAGGCCTGAATCTTTTTTTACTTCTAAGAATTATGTTCATATACTACTTTTTTTTTAAAGTACCAAGTTTTGAAGTTACTCAGTAGGTAGATAGGTAGGAATTAGTTCAATGGAGTAGATCATGTGTGTGTAATAGAATATGGTGCAGGATTTTAAAAATGAAGATGCTTATAGATGCTGCTGGATCTCCATTGTTTTTGAACAGTTTTGTTAGGTTTTTGATGGGGCGGGTGGTTCAAGAAGACACTGGGGTCTAAGGAGTTTATTAGGAGAGTTATTAATGCTGTGGACAGACAGACAGACATGGTGACAGTCTGGGTCACAGCATGATGGGGGCTCCAAGGAGAGTTCAGGTCCCAGCTCCAGAGACACAAACAGCATGGCAATATCTCTGAAAAGGGTCAGAGCCCATGTGGCAGAAGTGAAATTCCCCTGACTTTTGAAGATGGGGCTGGTTTCCCAGCAGGAGTCTGGAGCCAGGCTGATTCCCAGGCAGGAGGCAGGGAAGTAGGGAACAGGGTGTGAGTGTGCCAGTAGTGCCAGGATCATCAAAACTCCTTTGATGTTAACTCAATTCCCAGGTGAGAAGCCCTGACACTGGGTCTGTGTCTCAGGAGGCTGCTTGTCAGTGTCAGGGAATCCGAAGGTCTGTTGCAGATACTGTGGCCTGAGCAGAGGCTGGAGTCTAGCATTGAGTTCTTCAAATATGTGTTGAAAGCAAGGCACAGACTGGTTCATATGGTATTCTTGTTTGCTGTTGTTTTAAGATGGGCCTCAGGAGTTGTGCACTGTATATCTACCAAAATCAGCACAATAGATTTTAATAGTAAGAATAGGGTGTAGAAATGTGTCTTTTTTTAGTAGTTGTTGCTATTTTACCCTTTTTTTTTTTCCTGTCTTTTTGAAGCAGGGTCTCCCTGTTGCCCCAGCTGTCCTGGAACTCACTATGTAGACCAGGCTGGCCTTGAACTCACAGAGATCTGCTTGCCTCTGCCTCACAAATGCTGGGACTACAGTCATGTGCCACCACACCTGGCTCCTTTTTTTTTTTTTTTTTAAATTTTATTTTTTGGTCTTTTTTGAGACAGGGTCTCTCTGTAGCCCCAGCTGGCCTGGAACTCATTATGTAGAACAGGCCAGCCTTGAACTCACAGAGGTCTGCCTGCTTCTGCCCCCTCCAAGTGCTGGGATTAAAGGCATGTGCCATCATGCCCAGCTGCTATTTTACTTTTAAAAACCATGTTCATGTACTACCTTTTAAAAAGAAGTAGTGCTCCAAAAAATTATTTGCCATAGTTCAGTTTCGGTCAGTAAATATTTAGTATGAACTCAGGTCAGTTTAGTAAAACATTTACCATACCTGGTAATTTTGAAGTATTTTAATAAGGACTGCAGATAAATAAGATCTGGCCAAAATATAATGAAAGAAGCCCGCAAATATGCTTCCTGAATCACTTTATCGCTCTAGTCTGCTTCTCTATGGCATTCTTGTTCAGGAAGAAATCCTAAGTAGTAGTCACATAGACTAGAGTAAATGGTTTTGTAGCCAGCTTGTTCAGACTCCCGATATGTCCTTACGGAAGCAAACCAGCAATGGTTCTTAAAGTGACCAGAGAGTTTTTTTCTTATCGTCTCCCCTATATCCTTGCATGACACCAGCTTTCTATGGAGCTTGCACTTTCTCTGTAGCATAGGCACTGAAAACTGGGCTCTGAACTGGGGAAAACCACGGGCAGTAATTTATTGTTTTTGAATGGAAACAGAAAAAATCACTTGTAATGAGTTCCTGTTATGAAGTGGACTCCACAGTGCTTTGTGGGAGAATACCCACCAGATGAAGTACAGAGCCTGCCTTAAGAGACTGTCATTTGGGAGGTCTCTTTGTATAAAATAACTAGTTTACATATACCAGATTTGGTCAGAGGCAGCTCTTTAAATACTGAATTAATGGACAGAGACGTCCTAATGGGTCTCCCTAAGTTACTCAGGGTTTTCAACTGTGGCTTTATGGCAGCTGTTTTAGCATGTAGGTATTTAACCTTTTCCGTTATACACTGACTTTTGCGCTCTCTCTTTCTCTCTCTCTCTCTCTCTCTCTCTCTCTCTCTCTCTCTCTCTCTCTCTCTTTTTGAGGCAGGGTCTCCTTGTAGCCCCAGCTGGCCTGGAACTCACTATGTAGACCAGGTTGGCCTTGAACTCACAGAGGTCTGCCTGCTTCTGCCTCCCAAGTTCTGGGATTAAGGTGTGCGCCACCATGCCCAGTGACTGTGACTTTTTGGACAACGGAAAATATTTATTTTCCAAGCTAGTACCAAGCCTGATCCTAGAAGAAGCAAGATATATTTCTTGAATGAAAAATAGGCTTGGTGTCAGGGGAGATGGCCCAGTAGGTTAAAATGCTTGCCACACAAGCCTGACACCTGAGTTTGAGCCCTAGAACCCACAGTGGAAATTAAGAACTGACTCCCCCGAAGTTGTCCTCTGACCATATGTGTGCCCTTACACACACACACACACACACACACACACACACACACACGACATACACATTCACATGTGCACATACATCATACAAACGTACACCCATGTAATAATAAATTTTAATGTCTCAAGTATGATATTTCAAATTCATATTTAAATATTTTTAGACTTTTAATAGGCTTAGTTCAACTTCTGTTGGTCAAAGAGGCCAGTCCTCTTTCAAATATCCTCAGTTATTTCAAGGGGTGTTAAAAAGTTTTAAATTTAAAGTTCATTTAAAAAGCGGGTATAAAACCATGTTAAATATTTTTCTGTATTTCGTATTTTGGAGAAGAGTGAAAGAAAAATGTTTGTGACTCTTATTTTCCAAGACTTTAAAAAATATTTTACTATTTTTATTTTATATGCATGAGTGTATTGTCTGCATTTATGTAAGTGCATCTGTGTCATGCAGTGCCCATGGAAGTCAGAAGAGGGTGTCAGAGCCCCTGGAACTAGTTATTGATGGTTGTTAGTCACCATGTGGGTACTGGGGTTCGAACCTGGGTCTTTTGCAAGAACAACCAGTGCTCTTAACTGCTAAGCCATGTCTTCAGCCCCATTTTCCAAGACCTTTGAGAATGGTAATTGTATTCCTTTTCAGTATTCTCTAATACTGTGTTTATTTTTGAAGAATATCAGAACTGTAGTGAGGAAGCAAATTCTTGTATTCTAATTGAAGTAATTTTCATGATTAATGTGTTCTTTGTAGTTTATCTGTGAATTAAAATAGTGATGGATTTACAGTCATTTGTTTGGCCTTGCTGGTTACCGCAATTCAAATCCAGCCCCACCTGGAATTTTGTTGCTTTGATTTGACTATAAGCATTCTTTGGGCTCTCTCCCATTGACTTTCATCTCTGATTTGTTCATATTGTGTTTGCTTAAATAAATTTGTTCATTGAGGAAGCTTTTACTGTATTTCGTTATTTTTATTTTGTATATATGAGTATATTACTTGTATGTAGGTAAGCACACCTGTATTGGACAGTGCCCAAGTAGGTCAGAAGTAGGCATCGGAGTCCCCTGGAACTGGAGCTCTGGATGGTTGTTAGCTACTATGTGGATGCTGGGAATTGAACGCAGGTCCTCTGCAAGAGCAGTCAATGATCTCAGCCACTGAGCCATTTCTTTAGCTCCTAAATAATCTTTTAGAATAAATAATTTTATTAATTCTTGGAGAATTTTATACAGTGTCTGTGTTTGTTTGAGACAGGTTCTCAGAATGTAGCCCTGATTGGCCTGGGCTCACTATCTCAGAGATCTGACAGCCTCTGCCTCCTGTGTACTGGGATTTAAGGTGTGCACACCATCCCCAGCTCATAAAATGTATTTTGATCGTAAAAGAGTATGCACTGAAGTGTTAACCACAGTAGATTCTGAATGGCTAGGATCATAAATATTACATGTATATGTATCTTACTATTTATGAAATAAGGAAAAATTGGTTTAAAATGAAGACTGTTTATTTTCTCTGTGTATGGGGGAAATATATTTCAATCCATTTCATTGCAGAATCCTTTTCCCTGGAGGAAGTGCTAGCATAACACATTCAGAGTATTCCCATGTGTCTAAAATATTTTACAACAAGGCCATAAAGGTAAATATCTGCTGTTGCTTATCACCCCAAAGGGGTTTGTCTGTTTCCATAAGGGTGATTCCTTTTCAAAGTGTATCATGCTTCTTTCACAGTTCCTTCAACTTTTCCAACCTTATCCCCTTAACTGTTAGATGCCTGCTCTCCAGGACTCAGTGTCTGCTCCCCTGTCTGTTGTGCTTTTATTTTTATTTTATGTGTGTGAGTGTTTGGCCAGCATGTGTGTAAGTGCATACATGCGTGCAGTACCTGTGGAAGAAGTGTCGGATCCCCTGGAACTGGAGTTGCAGATGGTTGTTAGATGCTGTGTGGGTGCTGGGAACTGAACCTGGGTCCTCTGCAAGAGCAGCCAGTGCCCTTAACCTTTGAGTCTCTCCTGCTCCCCAACCTCTTGGTTTTGTTTCTTGTAATGGGGGGTTTCAGAGTGTGAACCACATCCTTGTGGCTTAGCAGTGCTAGTGCCTCCTCCTTGTCCTTTCATTATGTCCTGGTCATTGTTACCAATTCTCATCTTTTTTTTTTTTTCTTTAAAGATTTTTAAAAATTTTTTTATTTTATGTGTATGAGGGTTTTGCTTGCATGTATGTACATGCACCTATGTCCTTCAAAGCCTGCAGGGGTCAGAAGAGGGTGTTGAATTCCCTGGAACTTGAGTTATGGATTGTTGTTAGCCACCATGTATGTGTGCTGGAAATCGAACCTGGGTCCTCTCAGCTCATGCTCTTAAACCACTGAGCCATCTCTCCAGCCCCTGGTTGTCATCTCATAAAATAACGCTTTCCCTCTTCGCTGGTTCCTTCCTACTTCGCCTTTCTTCATAGCACCTGTTGACACAAAACATAGCACTTGCTTTAAAAGGGAATCAGAAGGAGTTTATTCTGAGCCAAATATGAGTGACCATGACCTGAAAACAGTATTTGGTTTCCCTGTATGACATGTTCCTCTGTGGAAGAGGTTGCATGAACATGGAGACTTAGAGAACAAAAGAAAGTTATAAAAATGTCTTTACCAAGTTGATGGGGACATCAGGTAGATAGACTATAGTACAGTAGAAAAATCTTTTCTGTGATTTCAAGTACTGTCTTATAACATTCCTAGCTTTAGTGTTGTGGAAAGCTAGAAGTTTGCTAAGTTTAGCAGTGCATTTCAAAAGTTACCTAGTAATCACAAAGAAGTCACATCAAATTCAGAGGTTGGTAGAAAAACAATGGCTATTAAAACAGACTAAAGATAGACAGAGGTTAAGAGACTAAGATAATCCTGGTTCTTGATCTGCAACATCATATGTCTTCACAGGCTTAAAGCTCTAGTCAGTCGGTCCATAGAATCTTCAACACAGATGTGGCTTCTTCAGCGAACTTGAGCTCACATACCCTAGGCCACATCCATTTACCATACAGAGCCTCTGACCACTGTGTAACAGCTCATGTTGGCCTGCACTTTGACCTCAACTTCTTAGACCCTTCCGTTTCTCCCCTGAAATAGTGTCAGCAGCTTTCCAGTTAGCACTAGTATCTTGCCGACCTCCCTTCAGTGTTTACCTGCCTAAATAACTGCTTTTAGCATTGAGATACTTGCTAAGCTAAATGCCCTATGGCCTTTCATAGTCTTTTGGGTCAATACATATATTGTACCCACAGCTCACTTTTTTCAGCCTGTCTGGTAACTTTCTGAAGACAGAGTAAGTGGCGAATTCTGTAGAAACTGCATAACTCAGGTGCCTAGTGGTAATAACAAGCAATATGTATAATTGTTTTTAAGTTTGAGTAACCATAGTATTCTCTTTTCTCATCTTCCCAAAGAGTTTTGATGATGGAGACTATTTTCCTGTATGGGGAACATGCCTTGGATTTGAGGAGCTCTCCGTTCTCGTTAGTGGGGAGCGCTTGATGACTCTCACAGACACTGTCTCAGTGTCATTGCCGTTGAACTTCACTGATGGTATGGATATGCCAACTCTTAAAGATACTTCTGGGGGTTGGAGAGGTGGCTCAGAGGTTAAGAGCATTGACTGCTCTTGCAGAGGACCCGGGTTCAATTCCCAGCACCCACATGGTGGCTACAAACCGTCCTTAACTTCAATTCCAGGGGAATCCGAAATCCTCTTCTGACCTTCGTGGCATTGCACCACATGGGTGCACTCACTTATGTGCAGGCAATGCACACATACACATAAAATAAAAATAATAAATAAAATATTTTTTAAAAAAACCTTCTTAATAGGATTAGTGAATAGTGCATATCAAAGCCAAACATACTATAACATCAATTCAAAATAATTTTTATAATTTATAAAGATGATAAGGAAATTTGAATTTTGATAATGCATTGGTTCTAGTGGTCTCATGACCATGTGTGATTAAGAATTCAGAAACAAGTTCTGGCTTTGAGTCTTAGCTTTGTCGCTGAACTTGGAGAATCATTTAATGTCTCTTTGCCTCATACTTCTTGTTTCAAGAGTTTCTACCCTGAGAATTCTTGCTGAGGATTAACCATGATGATTTCTAGCCTGTACGAGTAGCACTTTAAATGCAGCTCTTAGAAGTATCCACTATTGTTGCTATCAAAGAAGCATTGGCTGTATGTGTTGTTTCAGTCTCAAGTGGGTTGTATTACAGTTTGATTCTGGCACTGAATGCTTGGATTTATCACAGACCCCACAAATTAAAGGGCATAGTGCCCAACACCACCACCTCATGTGCTAGTCCTGTCCCCAGGCCTTCCACTGGTCTTACTAACTGCTGTAACTGTGGAAATACCCAAGGCATGGCCCCCATGTTTGATAATTCACTAGAACAGTTCATAGAGCTCAAGAGAGTACTTGTATTTGTACACCAACCAGGAGCTTCCAGGAGCTTGGGTTTCTAGAGTTCTATAACTTTTATTGGAGTTTCATTGCAGGCATGATTGAGTCATTGGCCACTTGTCTGAATTCACTCTGCCCCTCTTACATTTCTAGAGGCTGGGCTGCCTCTAAGTCCCAGCCCAGGAATCAAGATTAGTTTTTCTAGTACTCAGCCCCATCCTAAAATAATCTAGGGGTATACCAGTAAGTTACCTCACTGGCATAACAAAGATACCCTATCACTCAGGGAATCCCAGTGGTTTTAGCTCTTTGTCAGAAACCTAGAACAAGTTCCAGACAGATTCTGAATCATCACAATTAAGTGCCACCAACTATTGCAGTAGGATTTGGGGAGAGTCTTAAGAATGCTCAATACTTTAGAAAGCTCTCATTTTCATCATCTTACTTAATCACTGCAGGCACCTGGTGGGAAGTATATATTTTAGACCAGGGTAATTTGGTTGTGTGTGACAAAAGCCCCGTTTAAACAACAAAACAGTTATTCAGAGTGCTGGAGTTCTATTGAAACATTAGCAAGAATGAAATGCCTGGTTTGGAACAGCTTGAATCAGCCTTGAGTTCATCGTGATTATTTTTCCATCCCAGGAATTTGAATCTGCCTGACCAAAGAGACACCAGGATATACTGCTTCATTGATCTGTATATGGAGTAAACTTTTTTGGCTTAATTAATGCTTGTTTCTTCATAGTTGGTGTATTCAACCTTTTAAAAAAGTGATTATATTTTTGACAGTTTCATCCATGTATACAACACTCCTGTTTACTCTCACTCCCACCATCTTCTCTCTCCCTCTCTCCTCTCTCATCCTCTCTCCTCCTTGAGTCCTTTTCCCACATGTATGTCTTTTTGAATTCGTTTTGTGACCCACTGACTTTTAACCATGACTCTGTGTGACTATGGTTTTGGAACTATCCATTGGAGTCTAGTGGGCTCACCATTCTGTACACAGCTGAAGAAAATGACTGTTTCTCCCCACGAATCCTCCAGTAGATAATGGTTTAGCAGAGAGGGGAAGGGGCCCACAGTTTATTCCCTGATCCATGATTGACTGTTGACAGGCCCAGTCCTGTGCACGCCTAAATATAGGCAACCTCAGTTGTTGTGAGATCATGTTTGCACTGCCTATGTCATGCTATGAAGACAGCATTTCTCAGCCTTTCTTCATGTCTTCTGACTCTTACATCCTTTCTGCTCCCTCTTCCACCATGTTCCCTGAGCCTTCGAGGGGATGGTATAAATGCCCTGTTTAGGGCTGAGTACTCAAACGTCACTTACTCACGGCACCTTGAGGAGCCATGTGTCATTCATTGCACAGAGAAACTTCTCTGATTAAGGACAAGAGTAGCATTTGTCTGCAGGTATAAATATAAGTATTTAGAATGTGGTTTGTTACTGTGTCAGTGTAGCTCAACAACATTATGAGTTATCCCCAAAGGCCAAGACTTTCCCAGGGTTTTATAGTGCCAAGCATGTATTTTTCCTGTTAAGAGGCCCTCAAATCAAATCTGAGAGCAGCTGGATTACCCCATAGCTGTTAGACCAGCAGATACCTCTTGCTTGGAAGGTTGGCATTGTGGTTTGTAGGGCTCATGGCTGGGTCAGACTGTTGTTGTCTTTTCTCCCCCAGCAGTCTGCATAGCACTTTGTGTCACTATGCAAGCTACCAACAGGGAGGAAGCTTCCACCTTCGCTCCAGCTTGAGTGTCGTCTTCAGCAATAGGGTCTTACCATCTGGTTCTGGTGGGTAGCCAAGAGGAGTGGTAGAAGCTTGTACTGCTTTGGAGCCTCATTGGCCTTCTTGACCATTGATTCATAGGGAAGTGTCCCATACCTCGCACTGGGATTTTTGTGTAATAAACAATGGCTTCTGGAAGCAGCAATTATCCAGCCAAACAGGGTATTTTCTTCTAATTCATTTTAAGCTTTTATATGTGTTTTTTAAAAACATGTATTTTTATCTATGTATATTTGTGCATGTGTATGACATATGTAGGAGGGGTTGCAAGCTGAGGCCAGAGGACAGTGTTAGATCCTTTAGAGCTCAAGTTACAAGTTGTAAAGTACCCATCATAAGTGAACCAAACTCAAGTCCTCTGGAGGAGCAGCAAGCACTCTTAACTGCTGTGCCATCACTCTAGTCCCTTAATGTAGATTTCTTAAGTTGGCTTACAGAGTAGTAGGTTTCTAAATGACTTTTTCATGTATCCTCCTTGGTCAGTCTTCCCTCCATGCCGTCTCCTTTGAAGTCCTATATGCCGTTGGAAATTTTAGATGCTTTCCTGATGAAACAAACATATATTCTTGGAAATTTGCTTTTTTGTTTGTTTTTCAGAGGTGTCTGAGGAACTAGAGTTAAGATTCTCTGCTCTTCCATGTGGCTAACCTATAAGGTGTCCTATCAAAATATTTGTAGGTATTCATTTTAAAATCTAAAGAAAAGTAGTTAAGAGTGGAGTGTACCGCATTTGTGTCCCTGTTCCACATACTGTGGCTTGACTCCAAGCACTTCTGTGGAGACAGTGCGCTTTGCTTGACTGTATCCTAATAATGACTGCAGAAAAGTGACTTCAGTGGGTTTGACTTTTTTTCTGGTTTTTAAGTTATTTTTCTGTGCTTAAATTATTTCAGATATACTCAAGGGCAGAATGTTCCAGAATTTTCCTGTTGAACTAATTGTGTCATTAGCACTAGAACCTCTGACTGCAAACTTTCACAAATGGAGTCTCTCTGTGAAGGTATCATATTAGTTACATAGTGAAATTAATACATTTTGAATAATTGCAGAATTAATCACTTTGTTCTATTTTCTACCCTAGAACTTTACACAAAACGAAAAGTTAAAGAAATTTTTCAGTGTATTAACAACAAATACTGATGGCAAGACTGAGTTCATTTCATCTATGGAAGGTACGTATGCTGTAGAACATGGGCACTTGTTATTTTAAATTAAAAAATTTATTTAATAAACACATGATTAGAAGAAGCATTTCATTTCAGCTTTAACATATTCAATACCAATTTCCAGAGCAAAGATATATCTCTTTCAAAAGTGGCTATAAATTTTTATGTTCACAGTTGAATTCATACATTTATACAATCTTGAACTCAGTATAAACCCTGTAAAACATAAAATTGAATGAGTTTTTGACCTTTAAAAAAAGATCTCCATTTCCAAAGGTATAATTTGTCCAAGCCTACATTTTCCAAGTGTTTAACCACAAATTTTCTGTGTTCCTAAAATACTGTGATACCTCACTGAGCACTTAAAGAAATGCACTGAACATGAACTGAGACATCTTTACTCCTTAAATATAGGAAAAGAGGCTTCATAATCTGCAAGGTGAACAACTGAAGCCACTGACCCTATCGATCTTCTTTCTACAATTAAAATAAAACTCATTTTTTAATTTATTTTTGTGCGTGTATTTCATATAGAACATCCCAAACAATCTTATTCATCTATATACCCACTTGCCAAATGGTACCCTCCCATAGCCTCCCCCTACCCCCTACTGGAGCCCATATACTCTGTCATCCTGGTTACTGTCCACTGTGTTGTTGGCACCCCTAGCCATTCCCTAGTGCTTCTCCATCTGCTGAATCTAGTCAGCCTATCTAGGGATCCTTGTTTTAGGAAGATCAGCTCTTCTCCATCTAGCAGCAAACAGTTGTCAATATTCCTTTAGATGAGATTGGGGTCTGCTGTTCATTTTCCCAGTTCTATGTTAGGTTACTGTCTGGGAGTCTTTTGGGCCACCCTGGCCAATAACTCAAAGGAAGGTATTTCCTGTCTGGCATTGTTTCTTGTTATGTAGCCTTTAGCTATACACATGGACTCTTAAAGAATTATACTGATCCCTTTAACTTTTGGTTATACTTTCCTTTTGGGTGTTTAAGACCATACAGTTGGCCCAGATAAACCAATTTATTTTTACTCTTTTTCAAAA